GAATTAGGTCTATACTATCGATAATGAACTCTTTAGTGAATCTCGGATGTAGTATTTCTGGATGTTTTTCAATCCAGAATGAGATCGCTTTTTCCCTAGTTCATGGGGTATGTTACTGTATAGGCTACTGATGTCAAAAGTTGCCATAAGCGTTCCCGGACCTACCTTTTTTTGTGGTATGCAGCTAAGGAAATGGATATCGTCTCTGATGTGGCTTTTAATTTGTTTAGTATATGGTTGCAATATTATGTCTATTAGGTTACTGAGTTTGCTAGTGGGACAGACTGGTCCTGCTACTATGGGTCTGAATGTAAGGTCACTGGGGTTTGGGATGCTAATGTATTCAGATTTTTGTGTATGTATAGCTGCTTTTATTTCACTCGATTTATGAACTTTAGGTAGTCCGTAGAAATTACTTGTTTTTGGTACAAAGTTTATTAAGAAATCCTTCTCTTTTTTGTTAATATTTTATTATGTGTTGTGCAGAGTTTTGTAATTTTTGTTATAATGTTTTTGTCTATGTTAGTGTCAATTACTTTGTAGCTGTTCCTATCCTCTAGTGTTTCTAGAATTTTTGTTTTATAGTATGTTCTGTCCATGATTACTATAGCGCTGCCTTTATCTGCTTCTTTTATAATTATGTTATTATTTTTTCGAATGTTCTCTAAGGCTAGTCTTTGTCTATATGTGAGATTGTCGAATGATTTGGATTTTTCCTGTAGGTCAAGGTTCCAGAGTTTTTCAAAAAATATATTTATCTCATTGGTATTGTTATTTTTGTTTGGGAATAAATTGGATTTGTTTTTTACTAGTGACTCATCTGTACTACTTTCGTTAAATATTTCTCTTAGTCTCAGTTTGCGTTCAAATTCCTTAATGTCTTTTTTTAAGTCTACTATATTGCTTTTAGGAGCAGGACAGAATTTTAGGCCCAATTTCAGTAGGTTGATTTCGTCATTTGTAAGTGTATATGTAGATAGGTTTATTATTTTGGGTTTTGTGTCATCTAAACGGGTTTTCTTGTTCGGACTGGGGCTTCTAAAAAATAATGATTGTTTCTTTTAATATATCTTGGGTTTTCTAAGAGATACCTTCTTCCTGTACATTTTGAGTTTTCTAGCCAGTGAGAGTTTCCCTTGGTAAAATTGGGGTTGTTGTTTCTCGATGGCTCTCTATAGGTGTGTTGGCTTTTGTTAGGGGGCCTGTTCCAGATGTTCCTAGGTGTGTATGTGCGTATGTGTGTGTATGCGTGTATAAGTACAAATAAGTTTACGAATTCCTCGTAGTAAGGAAATATACGCACGCATATATACACGCATGCTGACAGGAACACGCCAAAATAGAAACAGATCCAAGAGCACATAGAGGTCACTAAAACATTAAAAGATTAAATGCCGATAACTACTCATGGACAAACCTTAATTGTTTTATGACCCTTCACGCAGAACTCTTCATTGACAATTCTAGAAAGAAAATTCGGATTGCCAACACAAAACAGAATGTCTCATATCGAGAATATTCCACATTGAACATGAAGAAAAATTAATTATTTTTAATAATATGTAAAAATCTCCACTTTCACCTGAAGACGGTTGCGAGACCAGACCAGAAACACGTGTCGTGAAATTATGTAAAACAAAGTATAATATTTTTCTCAATAAATCCACACATTACAACCAAAAAACGTTTGCGGCACCCTCTTCTTTTTAATATATATATATATATATATATATATATATATATATATATATAATATTATTATAACATAAATATGTTATAAAATCTCTACAAAAAATAGCTATTTTATTTCAACACCTCTGGTGTCTTCTCAAGTGAACATGTCGAATGTAGAATAAAGGGTTTTAAAAGGTTCAAATCAATTAACCACCCCTCGCAAGGGTAAATGCTGTTACATAAGCTGGAATGACCAATCAAAATACAAGTATACGAGAATTAAAAAAAACTTGACAACGAACTAAGGTTATAATAACTATTTAATGTCTTAATGTTGGGGTTAGACTAAAATAGAATTTATTCTAACTAATAAGTATTAAATTATACGATAAAATTTGAAATAAAAAATTAAAATTACCCATTTTAAAAATTAATCTCTATTAAGTTTAAAATTATAAAATTTCTGAGGAAAAAAGAAAAATACATACATACATACTTCTTTAGCCAGTAGTACCCTGGAGACACGTTAGGTAAAACCTTGGTAGGTAGGTTCTGGCGGCTCACCAGGTTTATATATTGAATATGACAGACAAGGAAAATTTGATTCATTTTTAATTGAGTTTTCTCATGTTTTAATCTTTTTCCGTTGAGTTAAGAGAGGGAAAATGTGCTTGGAACAATAGACATTATGGACAATATTTACATTCCCTTACATCTACCAAACTGAAAAATTTTAAAATACTAGAAAACGCAATAAAAAATCATCAAATTTTCCTTGACTGTCTATCATATTCAACGAATCATGTTTGAAAGAAAAGTTACTGTCTCTCTCTCTCTGTCTCTCTCTGTCTGTCTGTCTGTCTGTCTCTCTCTCTCTCTATATATATATATATACTGATAATATTAGTGGTCAATATATATATATATATACTGATCATAATAGTGGTCAATATATATATATATGTATGTATGTATATATATATATATATATATATATATATATATATATATATATATATACTGATAATAATAGTGGTGAATATATATATATATATATATATATATATATATATATATATATATATATACACACACACATATATATACATAAATTCCCAAGAGGATAGAATCCAGGTAGAACTCAATGTCAAGGACAGAATAAGAATATAATATAAAAGGCTCAAACACTAATACTCCATAGTTATAATTTATTACATTGGAATCGTAATCACGATCCAAGAGGTCTGATGAATTGGATCGTTATTACGATTCCAATGTAATAAATTATAGTCATGGAATCTAGAGATTTACTGTTAAACGGTAATGGTGAATGAGGTCTGTGATATTAAATGAAAGAGGATTCAGTAGGAAGCGAAGATTATGAGGATGAGAAGATCAAATACCGATCCTTGTGACAAATACGTTAAGACTGTAGTATTCAGGGAAGCACCCACACGAGAGTCTTGTCTTCAGAGTAGCAGTTCCTGGTAAAAGGCTGAGTGGAACTTTCTTACATTTGTAACAAGGGGAATTGCGGGTTATTTGACTCCATAAAAGTAGCATGGCGTGCTATAACTGTAAAGGTTTGATCTGGTGTAACTAAGAATGGAGCTCATCTGAATATTTGCTATGGAAATAGCGATAGGCTTGCCAAGATTTGTCTGTGGATACGAGCCTGTAGAGGGAAGAATGGCTCTTCTCGCACAAAACCACATAAGCGATTTTGAATTCTATCAAGACTGGAATATGATTGAGTTTCTCCAGCCCATATATGACAGCAGTACTTCATGTTTGTTTTTTTTTGTTTAATCTGGTTCTTCTAAAGATAAGCCATGATAAAAAAAGTTAAGTACGATAGAACGAGCCAGTATCTTTATCAATATTATTAAGTTCAATAACGTCTTCGATTGAAATGAGAAAAGTCAATATTGTCATCAACGTCGATCAATTCAGTCCTTTTATAGTCAAAGCAATAAAAAATTCCGGTGTTATATTTGTTCAAAGGCTTTGCATACTTCTAAGCGGATACAAAGCAGAGAGAGAAAACAACACCCTGAAGTAAGTTTATGAGAATTGAGAACTGAATAAATCTTATCTTTTGTAGATTTTGTCAAGTCATCCGAACGAGTTGCTATGCTTAATTGTTGTTTGTTCAGTGAAGCTCAACTTTATTATTTTTCAGGTGTGATATCATATTAATCTTCACTCGACATTTCAAACAATGAAACAATTGAAAGGAAACGTTCGATTCTTCCCTTGATCCCAACATATACGCAATGTCAACAAAAACGACTGAAAACATTGTCAAGTGCTTTATGCTCAGTTTGAAAACTTAGATTCTGAACATATTTTTTCTTTAATCCTATCTTTGGTGATAAACGAAAAATATATGAAGTTTCTTACAACTGAGACATACCTTCTGTTAAGTTTCAAATTCTGTTAAATTTTCATATATACCTATTGCATATACATTTCTTATACAGGGTGTCCATACAGTTCGTGTGCACTTTAAAAAATTTATAACTTTATTTGTATTTGCGATAGAAATAATCCGTAAAAAATGTTATAAAGTTAAAATGTACCTAGTTTTAAGTTTAGCTAAAATAACTAATGTGATTTCAGACATTACCGTAAATCAGTTGGTAAATGTTTTCCGTGAAATCGTATTACCCTTTGTATTGCTAATGATAGAGGACATGTGGAAACTTAAATAAAATTTCAATAAAACATTAAATAATATAGATTTACTTCTTTCTAATCCTTTTTACAAATTATTTCTATCGCAAATACAAATAAAGTTATAAATTTTTTAAAGTACACACAAACTGTATGGACACTCTGTATAAATGTTCATATAGGCATTACATATATCAGTACGGTGGAGTAATATCGGCTCAGAATGAGGAATTGAAGAGCCAAGTTCGAATTCCAGTCGAATCCATTACATTCACTTACATGCTAATACCCTTGGGAAAGGTATGAATCCTCTTCTTCTCCATCTAGCTATGGGTAAATAGCAAGACAGACCGGATGGCAACATCAGCCTTGGATGGCAACTGGTCTACCACAGAAAGAAATGTCAACCTACTGCGGGAAAAAAATCTGCTTCGTCAGTTATGCATCAAAAGATACATGATCGCCTAAGCGTGTATCACGCATGGCACATAACTGACTGAACCATACATGACTCATTTTTATAAGTCCCGAAACAACAAACAATTGCAATTCTCTTGTTTTTGGCGTTTATTACTAAGCAATCCCAAACTACTAACAATCAGTATTTCATAATACAAATAACAAAATATCTTTTTACATATATTTTGTAGATGAATCATACTTGGCTGCAGGAAGTCAAGATGGCAAAATTACTGTCTTCAAAGTTCTTTACGATGGACAATTTTACCGTAAACTCGGAATCCTTGATGTGAGTATTAATTAGAAACATATTTTAATTTCACTGATTATGCATAAATATTCATTAAATAAACGAAATTTCTCTTAAAGGCATGATACTTCTGCATCAACATAAAATACAATGTAATGTTTTTCTTTATGATGCTTACTCGCAATCACATGCAGAAATATCATACCTTTAAGAGAAATTTCGTTAGAAGACAACGAAAAAAAAGGAAGGAGTATAGAAGAAAAGGAAGGAGTATAGAAGAAAAGGAAGGAATATAGAAGAAAAGGAAAGAGTATAGAAGAAAAGGAAGGAGTATAGAAGAACTAGACTGAAAAGGCAAAGAGAAGGAAAGGAAAAAAAAGAATATAGAGAAAGAGAAAGAATTACCTTATAAAGATAATCTAATTTAAATTCTTGTAATCCAAAATTCTATAAACAATGGAAGCCAAATTGTCTGTATTATTTGTGAAGATGACATTTAATGGGAGTTTTAAGTTAATCTTATGATAATAAAGTAAGATCTGGGTCTGGTAATTGATTCATGAGTCGATTCTATGCGCTGTTTACAGAATTATCTCTATAATCTACCTGTGTTTACAGATGATTGAAAAAAGCTCAACAGATGAAGAACTTTCACATTAAAAGAGTAGAGATTCTTCTTTTGTATGAAGATTCACTTCATAAGTGATACGAAAAGAAACAAAATTAGTTAAAATCTTCAGAAATGTAAATTACAGATTTCTTTTACTTATCTTGGTGCTTTTATTTCAATTTTTTTAATGAGTTTGTAAGCAAATATTTTTGTTCTCTCACTAGAAAATTTAAGGCTTAATATTTTCACAGATATTTTCATTCATAAAGACCATAAATTTCAGTAAACATACGGAACCGCCTTCTCATTATAGAACGGAAATAACAAAACAGAAAATGTGCTCTTTAACAGGCTGCATGCCATCTAAAGGTTGGGTGATATTGTTTAGCGGCATATCAACACATCTATGGATCATTTAATGCCGAAATTTAAATATTTTCTACATAATTAAATATTTTCATGGTAAAGGTATGTTTGTTAGATATATAGTTTGTAGATCATAAAACATATTGCTGATAATTTCACTATAAAAATGTACTGGCAATTTTTTTATAAGAATGTATCTTTATACTTTTTTAGCGTGGTACTGATTGTTATTTTGCTATAAAATTGTACTCTTGGTCGTTTGACCATTTTCTTGGTCAACAGCTCATTTAAAATAACCTGTTGATTTGTTTGAAGGGGTCACTATTTGCCCATAGCTGGGATCCTAACAGATGCTACCACTCCGGTTCAGAGTGGACTTGGGAACAACAGCAGTCGATGTGATTCCACCTTCCTCAAAACTTCAAATCTCCCTTGCTGCCGGATGTAGTTTATCGTCATACCGAGGACGCAATATAAAATGTGGGGGACCCTGATAATAAAAAAGAAAGGCCGCTACAAAAATGGAACGAATGTATCGGAGAGTTCTTCCATCTCAATAGAGGCGAGAAGCTTACAATGCATAAAAAACCCCTTGCAGTGCGCCTAGTATTATAATCTGAGTTCAGATTGGCACTAGCTAATATGAAGAGAAACAGAAATGTCAGGAAGATCTGAAATTGTAATAGAGATCATGACAACTTTTGGCGCTTTCGGGATTGATAAGGTTAGCGAAATGATAGATGAAATATATGACAGCGGTGAAATACCGGAGGACCTCAGTAGATATTTGATAGCACTGTCAAAGAAACAAAGTGCAAACAAATGGTAACTACATCGAACAATCAGGTTAATGAGCCACATAACAAAACGTGTACACAAAACATATTGTATTGATTATACAAACATACCAATGATAATGTCTTTCAGTTTTGTTTCAAATTCATTTGAGCATCTCGTCCGTTAAATTACCAGCCATCGTTAAATTACCAACCATCGTTAAATTACCAACCATCGTTAAATTACCAATCATGGTTAAATTACCAACCATCGTTAAATTACCAACCATCGTTAAATTGCCACCTGTAAAAAATTTATTATTACTATTTCTTTAAAAATAAAAATTATAATGTGTTTTAATAAAAATTAAGAAAATAAAAATATTAACAATGATTTTAATTAAATGAATACTAGAATTACTATTATGATAATGGTAATACTAGTAATACTGGTATAATACTTACTGTATACCTACTTTTGCAGCCTCCTGTACATACATGTGTCATACTTCAAATATCAGTTGCGCTAGGAATTTATCTATTTGGATCTGTAATGAAAAAAAAAGTGTTTTATATTCAGCAAAATGAAACACCCCTCTGTTTTTCATTATCTTAAGGAAACATTTCTAGAAACATGGATTGACAGCAGTGAAAACAAAAAGATGCTTTGTAAAATGTTACTTTTTACAATGGGTATTAGGAAAATAGACACCCAGAAAACAAATTTCCCCATTTATTCTTAATTATTAGTTACTGTTTTTTTTTTTATCATAATTCTTTTTTTACAACATCTTTTATTCACATTGTTCTTCTACGTTCGTTACTGTTCAGCGCGGGCCAGAAATCCAAACATGTATACCAAATACTGAATGATGAATTTATTATTAAATGAAGCATTACTGGGTTCGAATAATAACAGCTATTGAGTGGCCTTCGCTGTTTCATCAATGACAGCTACCCGGAATTGACAGGTATCCGAGAAGCTACAAGGAATGGACGGGTATCAGAGAAGATACCTGGAATGGACAGGCTATCCAAGAAGCTACCCGGAATGGACAGGCTATCCAAGAAGCTACCCGGAATGGACAGGCTATCCGAGAAGCTACCCGGAATAGACGGATAATCGAGAAGCCGCCTGGAATGGACGGGTATCCCAGGATGGACTTATCCGAGAAGCCGCCCTGAATTGACAGGCTATCCGAGAAGCTACACGGAATGAACAGGTATCCAAGAAGCTACCCAGAATGGACAGGTGTCCGAGAAGCCTCCCTGAATTGACAGGTATCCGAGAAGCTACACGGAATGGACAGGTATCCAATAAGCTACTCAGAATGGACAGGTATCCGAGAAGCCTCCCTGAATTGACAGGTATCCGAGAAGCTACCCGGAATGAACAAGCTATCCGAAAAGCTACCCGGAATGAACAGGCTATCCGAAAAGCTACCCGGAATGAACAGGCTATCCGAGAAGCTACTCAAAATGGACAGGCTATCTGAGAAGCCGCCCTGAATTGACAGGTTATCCGAGGAGCTACCCGGAATGGACAGGTATCCGAGAAGCTGCTCAGAATAGACAGGCTATCTGAGATGCTATACGCGATGGACAGGTATCCGAGAAGCTACCCGGAATGGACAGGCTTCCCGAGAAAAAAAGCATATCGAAGCATATTCTTTTTCTACATTAGACACTAACAAGCATAGAATGATTGTTTCAGAGTTAGAATAAAAAAATAAATGAAAAAGTCATAAAAGTATCGGACAATAGTTAACAGTTTTGTTTTCGAGGTGTGTTTTTGTAAAATGCCAACTAAAAAAAATATACCCTTTATCTTTGCATTCTCTTTATTTTCTTGTGTTTAACACTGCCGTTATGGTCCGATATAAAAATCAATCTACACACCTAGAAGAGATCGATATACTTTCCGATCGAAATACGATACAAAAACAAGATCCTGAAAAAATGAAAACAAAATATTGAAATATTTGTCAGTTTGCAATAAAGGCTTATTGATTATACCGAAATTGAGATGGCACACTTATGCCAGAAACAGTTAATTACGACTACCTATGTGTTTATTAAGAGCCTTTTTATTGGAAACTTGTCCCGAGTTATCAATTTTAACAAATACATTTAATGATGAATTTAGTGTCATGATACTGTGGTTATCAATTTGGAAGAAAGGAGATCCTCGTCAGATCATGTCCAAATCCAGATTAAAACTATTTTCACTTTCGGATGAACCCAAGTTTCTCAACACTTTATACTATTGACATCTTAACTATCGTCCTGTCATTAGCACGTCACGATGAAAGAAAACAATTGTTGACTGAGTACAGAGACAATGTACTCATAATGATATGCCTAAGCAGAGCTGCTATTTCTATTATTAACATTGACAGATGTCTATCCTAACAATCATACATCGGACGCGTCAAAATTTAAATCTAAATGTTGAGCGTCTCTGCATCATAAACGTTTCGACGTAAATTATAATTGACATTTGTTATATTTCCTCACACAATTTCTCCTTTTGTATTTATAAGATTGATTCCATCAATAAAATCATTGTCTGAAGAAATTCTTTCTCGGAACGAAACGCGTCTTATTGTTTTACGACGATATCAATTGAGTACACAAGCAATCTATTCATATTTACATACCTATGCAGATCTGCTACATCTATTGTCAGTCTTGACAAATGACAACTATACAAATGCCATTCTGATTACTAAGTTATAGAACGCTGGACTCTGTATAATCCGAACTGCAGGATTTTAAATCATTATAAGAACTAAATAGAAAGAAGGTAAGAAGATTATATAGCATGTCTTTAAAGTGAAAACAAAAAAAGACATGCCTACCTGTTTTGAAAATCAGTATTTAAAATTAAGCGTGTATTTAGGGTATTTGATATTTGTTGTACAATTTTCATTAGTATCTACGACTAAATAAAGAAATGGAAAAATATGTTTAATTGCATCTAAAATAACAGATTCTTGTTTGTTTTAACAGTAAAACTGCGAAAAATTCTAAATCTCTTTAAATCTTCAAAATTAGATGAAAATAATATTTCTCTCCCTCCCTTTCCGATTCTCTCTCTCTCTCTCTCTATCTATCTATCTATCTATCTATCTGTCTGATTTCAGAAAGTCTCCTAATCTGTTTCTATAGCTAAGAAGACTTAAGAATACAATTTACAAACTTCTGATCGTTTTCGTTGCAGACCTTTAACATCGCTGTCAGCCATATTGACTGGTCAATGGATAGCCGCTACATACAATCAGAATCCACCGATCACGAATTACAATATTGTAAGCATTTTTTAATAAAGTCTGTTTCTATATTCCATTTTGCGCACTTTGTTTTTTTATCAAAATAATGTTAAACACCATCTTAAAATTTCTTGAACGCAAATAAAGCTTTTCATAAGTTTGTTTAATTCACATTGATTTTTAAGCCACATAAAAACCGAAGCTCAAGTAAATTTAAAAGATATCAAACAAAAGATATAATATCGGAAAATTTGTACATTATCAGCAAAAACGCGTCTTCATAAAAAGCCCGATAGATGGCGTAGTTTTCATAATCTTTCTATAATCCTCAGTTCTTACAAAAATCAACTTTAGTAAAACATTCAGTTATGATTTTCAGTTGATGTCTATGCTCCTGAAATAAAGCATTTTCCAAATATTCAATTAAAAATTCAGACGAGTGTTTTCAGTTTTATTGCTTTGATCGCCGCCTTTTGGGTGGTAGGCTTTCAAATGCATGTCGCCTAGATCGATGACTGGAAAACAAAACTGAAGATTAACGGATGCGATATTCACTTGAGGAATGCTGCCAATAGTTGAACGAATAATAAGAATACATTATCTTAGAACTGGGAAAACATTTTCCAGGTGATGGAAATTGAATAAAATTTACCTGCCAACTCTGTTTCTGAAAATTAATTGTTATTGTTTTGTTACCAATTTTAATTTTTAATTCGTATAAACCGAAAAAATTAAGCAGTTTATTTGTAAAAAATCTACTGTACCTCTATTATGGTAATTTACAACTGCAAAGCCTTTAGTCTTGGCTGAAAAACGGCAAAATATAATTTTCCTTGAATAGAGGATTTGTCTCACAGTCATTGCACTAAAAATGGAAAATCGGGTCACATCCTAATGGCTGCAGTTTTACTGAGTTTTTGTAATTATTGTATTTAAAATGTGGTTATATGCAATGATGTTGAGAATACTATAGGCAGAACATGTGAGTAACGAGGAAGTTTAAAGGGAAAATGGAAAGAAAAATCAGAGAGAAACAGTTGAAATTTCTTGAACACAGAATGAGGAAAGAAGGCTTAGAAAATTTGAATGGGCGATAGTAAAAAGCAAATACTGCGAAAAGCTACAAAGGATAGGAAGTTGGGGGGGGGGGGCAATGATCGCCCAAATCCTGAAGAGACACGGCACAGAAGAAAAAGAAGATGCTATTCTTACGTTATCTTTGACAAAAATTCCTAGTTGCTAAAGGATTTCCCAAGGCAAGTAGGAATGTCAATTTTGTGAAGAATTTGCTCGAAAAAGACGTGCATCCTGATTTGTTATTTCTATCCTCGCTTATTTATCAAGTTTTTTCAATCATTTCACCTTTGGCAGGACGATAATGCTATTACGACGCAAGCGTCTACTGAGAGTGGAATAGAACGAGAAGACTTTAGTGATGATTAAAAAAAAAATAAAAGAGCAGGATTCAGGACGACAGAAGATATCGATTGACGTTGAAATTAAATGTTTGAGGATAGCAGGTGTCGATGAAACAAGAAATCGGAAAAGAATTCCACGGGCGAGAAGTACGAGTAAATAACTTATGATTGCATCTATAGCTCATTCAACAGTGAAACAATGAGACCTAATTGTCAATCTAGTAGTACGCTTCAATTCATGCGGTCGAGGTATCAAGGAGGAAAGCTCATTATTACAACTGAATTGAAAAATATTTGTATTCTGGTTTCTCCTACTTCAAGATAGAATGAAAATAGTGAGGTATTATGTAAGCTATCTATTCTAGCAAATTCTTACAAGCAAATCAACTTCATCATTATTGAAATATTTTAAAATAAACAGTTGTTTCTTTCGTCTTTTTTTGTGTTAAAATCATTAGATTGTAAAGTTTGTCATTGTATATCGAAAAGGCTTTTGATAATTATTTAAATTTAAGCCAATCAGTTCTGTATCTGTAAATCAAACTATTTCTCAACTATTTTTGTGTTTTTTTTTTATTTTTTTTTTTTTTTTTTTTTAGGGAATGTTATGGAACTAACAAAAGTGAAATCAGCTCGAGTAATGAGAGATGTGGATTGGGCAAGTCATACTTGTACACTTGCTTTTACACATTTAGGTAAATAACAAGAAATATTTTCATTCTATGTTTTAAGTAATGTTTCAAGATGATTATTTAGAACTGGGAAATACAATGGATTAAACAAAGAAAACAAAAAAAGAGCGCTTTAAAAAAAAAAAAGATATTTTCATAAAAGTTTTTCCCGGTAAAAAAAAGTATTGATCCCATTTCCAGGTTGCCATGAATTTATTCCCTGAATCAACAATTCTGGAGTAGAATGAAAAATGACATCGTTAGCCTGAACATAACGATTGCAATTTCTGAAATTTCTTTGAACATCGTCAGACGTGACAAAAAAGCCCCCAAAAAAAAATGTGAATATTGTAATATATTCGACAGCATACTTTAAACTAATAAGTTAAATATAGTCCAATGCAAGTGATTTATGCTTCGGTTAAATTACGTGGTTTTGGCCATGAATACATCTAAAAGATGAATCAATTAGCTTACATGGGTCAAGGCAAAATGAATTCTGGAGCCATACCGATGAGATGTCAGCTTCAGCAGAAATGGGATCATCAATTTTCCTGAATATGACACAAGCCAGAGAAAGTTTTTTTTTTTTTTAATATCATTATTTATCCAATACAAGAAGGCTCAAGAGTCACTCAGGGTAGAGAGTTACTAAATGAAGTAAATGCGTACGAGGAAAAAGTGCATATTATGGGGATAGGTAGGATAGATAGCGTTTAACCCTAGACTTGAAGAAGTTAAGAGTTTAGTGATCGTAGAAGCACCCACTCGGGAGTCTATTTCACAATTTAACAGTTCTGAGAAAAAAATCGGTCTTGGACCTTAATAATGTAATATGAAGAGAATGGGGATGTGTGTTGATTCTGTGTACGTAGCCTGGCGGATCCTAGATGTGAAGGTCTGAATCGGTGAAACAAATGAATGTAGTTCGTCTGAACATCTACGATAAAAATAGCAATAGTAGCTAGAGCTCAGCAACGTTTTAGGAAAGGGATTGTTCGGTAGAAAATGATTCATCACTTCTAAGGCCGCGTAAATGAACTCTGTTGAGGCTTGAAAATAAAGGTTGGACAGCTCCGGCCAAGATATGGCAGTGATACTCCATTTTTAGTTTGATCTGGCTCTTGTAAAAAAACAATTTCTGCAGCGGTACGAGGAACTGACATTTTTTCCATCATCTTTAGCGATGGATTGTATATACGAATTCCACTTGAAGTCTGGAGTGATCTTGAGTCCCAACAGACGTCCCAGGCAAAGAGCTTCATTTTGATTACAACCATGAATGGAGAAAACTCAGGATCTGCTCTTTAATGATGAAATGTCACTAGCTTGATTTTTGAGGTATTAAATGTTACAAAACTGTTCCTCCCCTATTGAGCAGTGCGAGCGAGGTCAGAGGTTAGATCAATTGGGAATCTGGTCATCTAAACTTTTACAGGTGCAACTATAAACCATGGAATCGTCTACATATATATTTACTAATGATCTGAGAATATCTTTAGGCAGATCGTTACTATAAAGCAGAAAAAGGGTAAAACCATGACGATAAACTTGGGTGACGTCTGCATAGAACTCGTACTTTTTAGATGACTGGCAATTAACAATGACATTCATGATTAACAAACTTGATCTGGATACAATGATTCGATGGAGTAGCAAAGTCAGTCCTTCCTAGAAACTTCGTTATTGTAGTCAAATGTCAGATTAATTAAGATTTTAAGATCCTTGATCGCCGCCTCAACTGACAATTTCCAATAACGGCCTCATAATTTCTAATAATGACCATAGAATTTCTAATAATGTCCATAGAATTTCTAATAATACTTTTAGTCATAATTTTGTATTTCAGATTTTCTTTCCCCTATGAGATTTCCGAGTAAAAAAAAAAAATGATCCCCTGGTGGGCCCGGATTTTTTGCACCCTCTTATCGCTAGTGTATCTACTCTTTCGTACTAAATACAAGTGCCATATTGAATATTCATGTCGATGGGAATTTTTCAACTTATAAAATAATCGTACCTGGGTAATTAAACGTTCCACCTGGTCTTTTTTCGTTTTATTCCTGAAACAAAATAACCATGCCTTAGAGAAAATTATTTGAAAAACAAGCGGGCAGTTCTAGATAAGCACCGTGTCAATGGGGAGGGACTGAAGTTAAAAAATAATTTAATTATTTGATACACAAGAGTAACCGTATACACATGTGTGTGTGTGTGTGTGTGTGTGTGTGTGTGTGTGTTTGTTTAGCATTTACACTATGAGTAGATACCCATTTTTATTTTGTGTTCGAATTCAGAAATTAGACCTAAAACTAAAACTTCATTTGTAAGCTTGAAAACTTAATTATTGCTATTTTAATATTTTAGGGGCCTGGTCGAATTTGGATAGCAATGAAATCCTTACTACTGTCGGCTGTTTCACTGGAAAGACAACAAATTACCTATGCGCCGGTGACAATAAAGGTCGCTTACGTCTATACAAATATCCATGTTCTTGTTACAAGGTATCTACATATTTTGTTACAGACGTGTTTTTCTTGTTACAATCTACCTGAACATTTTTTGCAGACTTGTTCTTTTTATTCCAATATATCTAAACATTCTGTTACCGATATGTTTTCGATTTATATTTAAAAACATCAAGAAAAAATATAATTAAAATACATTTAATGTAATATTGATATAAAATTTTGCATCCTAATAAAGCATCTTTTGATATTTTGGTAAAGCACTTTCGAAGAACGTTTATGTTGTAAAAAGACCAGTTCACTTTAACAAGATGTTAACAAAACGTAGTTTATTTTAGCTATAGGTCATATATACATGTTTCAGTCACACTGCTGCAAATGGCTCCGAATTGCTCGTTTACAAATTTAATGATGAGAGTACAATTGTCGTATGTTGTGTCTGCTTTACTTATTTATTTTATGAAATTTTTTTCCAGGCAAAATTCAATGAAGAGAAACAATGTTCTTCCTCTCTCATCAACATTCAGACCCTGGACAGCAATGGTGGCCTTCTTTCTTCGGGAACGGACGCCTCCCTGATGCAATGGGCAATAGAAAGCGATGATGACAATATTTAAAACAGTTCTCGAGGAGCTTCATTCTGACATCTATATTTACATTCGCAGCACAACATCTATACAAGCATATTTTGTAAATGACGATGCAGTCTGTTGAAAAACAAAATCTGCTAATCATTCTTCCAACAGAATCTATCCGCCTTTGCGAGCAGAAGTTTTCCATTTTGATCGTCAATTGTTAGAGGCACGTAACTCGTACTAATGGATCTGCATTGACCTAAGCTATCGAGAAGATCATTTGCTCATTCCATCATAAAAACATGGAATAGGGAGCTCAACTACAAATTCTTTTCAGTTGAAGATTTACCTTTTGTGACATAAAAGATAATATTGGCGATATTTGGTAAAATGAGGTTGGCATGAAAAAAAAAAGGTTGACACTCATCCACTAAGACGTAACCAAAAGGCAAAGTTCAGACAGATTTTGTAATAAAAATGATTATTCTACACCTTTTGATCCTCAAATTAAAAAACAAAAAAAGTTGAACTTCAAATAAAAAACTGAACTTCAAATTAAAAAAGCTCAACTTCAAATTTAAAATGTTGAACTTCAAGTTTAAAAAACTCGATTTCAAATTAAAAAAGCTGAATTTCAAATTAACAAAGGCTCAATTTTAAATGAGAATTTTATTAAGTGAAAAAATGCGGTATTTGTTTACAAACAAACGAACTAACACAGTAGGATAATTCGAAACTGGCCAGTTTACACATTGTCCCACATCTTGTTTTGTCAAGTTTAGGGCAAAATGTTTCTCTACATAATTGTACGTGTTTTTAATGCACATTAGTGAAGTAATTGCAGACAACGTTTCATCGATTGCTTCTTCTAGCGTAATCTGTACAATTCCTGCTGATGGTGAAAAGCCATCATTGTTTCAAATGTTTCGCTCTTCCGGTGTTTGATAGCTCCAGCATTCCTCAATTTGATTTAGAGGCGTGCTGTATGGGGAACTGCAAAAATAGGGGTGACGATAAATTCATCCTCTTCAAATTACATTCTTCAAATCCAGATAAAGATGACAATAAGTAAAGTTAGTCATTTCGTTCTGAGAAGTTTTTTCAACTATTCGCGGCATTTTCCCTTTGTAAGTGATCTTCTTTGCTTCTCCCAGTAAAGGCCAGACAAGTTTGACTGATTGACCCAATGATGAGTATATTACCACTTTTGGATGAAGCTACAATCGCACAATATCTGGTCGTTTTCTTGCATCTTCCCCGCGCACGATCGTAAAAACACATATTGCAGTTCGCTTGATCGATATAAATAAGTCGCTTGTCATTGTCAATTGATTTCATTAATGAATTGCACATAAGCATATTCTGTTGCTTAGCGAGTTCATGATGGTACGTTCTGAGATTACTGAGATTGGCATTCGAGTTCGTTTGGGTTTGGGGGGGGTTGTTTTTGTTTTTGTTTGTTTTTTGCTTGTTTTTGTTTGTTTTTTGTTTGTTTGTTTTTTGTTGTTTGTTTGTTTTTTTTGGGGGGCGGGGGTTGTATGGATTATGGTATATTTGACACGTATATTTGCATTTCCACAACGAGTTTCTTCTTGTTGTGTCAAGGTTAAAGCAGATTATTACTCCACCATTCCAATATTCGCTATATGTCATGAGGTAGGATATTCTTGAATCGAGTTTCTTCCAACGACTTGCTTGTTCTAGTAGGAATCTCAACACTTTTCCGTATGATGCAAAATATTAGTAATAAACACTGCTTTCTCAGATGCAGTAAGTACCCTTCTTTTCACATCAGTATCAGTATAGTACTTGTAATTGCACATCTTTTAGTCCCTTTTTTTTTTTTTTTTTTTTTTTGAATGCACTCTTTGATCGTTTCATATTAATTGACTTTTCATCGCTGCCGGTATTCAGTGTCAAATAAGTTGGAATTTCAAATGGCCTATTCCCAATTCCAATACTAAGCAGAGTAATTATGAACGAACTGAAAATTTGAAAGGTAGACATTTTAAAAGAATTGCTCTTGAAGCGAAACAGGTCATTGGTTACTCAAAATGATAATTTGTTTAGGGGGAGAGGCAATCGCAACCTCCGCTTGATTAATGTCATAGATGCCTTCTTTTTTATTTTGAAATTCAGCTTTTTTTATTTGAAGTTTAATTTTTTTAAACTGAAGTTAAGCTTTTTTAATTCGAAGTTCGACATTTTTTTTTAATTTGATGTTAAAAAGGTGTAGAATTGTTCTACAATTCACATAATATATATATCTATCCGGCTATATTCATTTGTTTCATTTGCTTTTTAAATTTTTCATTCTTAATTATTTATTGAAAATCAATGTCAAATGTCCTACTTTCGTAACTCAGTAGGACATTTGCGTGAAATATGAACGAAAATGTGAAAATATTAATTCTATAATCATCAAAATGAACGAAAAAAAAACCAACAAACCACTCAGATATTTAAAGTTTGTACAATTTATTATATTCATAATTATTAACAATTATGCAAGTTATTAATTTATATTATTATTATTCATTTTACGTGTTCGTTTTTTAATTTAACTGAAATTTATTTGGAAAGAAATTTTATTTATAATCTTTTATATAAAGTACAGTGTATGTTTGTGCGTTTGTTTGTGTGTGTCCAAGCAACTCCTTCGCTCCCACTGGTCCGATTACAATGATTCATAGCTCATTCAAAAGCCCTAGAAAAGTTAGGCACGGGGGAACGCTTTTCATTGAGCTCAGATTCAGTGTTGCCAGATTATGCGAGGTTAAAAATAATTTATTATGCTAACTATTATCGTTGATTTCACGATTCAAGGGGAGTAACTCTTATTTTTTTTTTTTTTGTATCCCAAATTACATCTAGCTTAACATCTTAAGCTTCCTATCGGGCGGCATTTAAGTGAGCTCTTGTGGATGACTTTTGGTTTGGCCATCATCACAATAGCTAGGGGGGGAGTAGATGCGATAGGCATCAATAAACTACAGAAGAACTCAAAATTGATCGCTGCATTTAAGTATTGAACTAATGTTTAAACTATTAAAAAGTTCAACGATAATTCTTCTGCTGCCACCTAATTTAAAAATGGTTTGATGTACGTAGATTCATATTTTCCGTACAATTATTTTTATTTCATGGATGATAGAACAGGGGAAATCTATAAGATGAAATTAATATAGTGTAAAGATGGAAAAATAGAAATTAGTTACACATTCAACATTTGGAGAGTTAGAGACACATTATAGTTAATATAATTCCTATATTATGGAATCTGTATGAATATAATTCCTATACTATGGAATCTGTATGAATATAATTCCTATATTATGGAATCTGTATGAATAATTGCGAAATTCTCCCACGAATTCTGAGATTAAAAAGCCCCAGCTCTACTTTATAGTAATTTACACACGGTATTTATCTGTCCCCACCACTTGGACGAAATGTGACACATGGTCTATTTTTAGGTGGGGACCCGAGCCCGTACACCCAGGACAGGAACAAAAATTCCCCTCAGCCCCTTGGTTGCGCTGGCCTCGGTGCGAGCACCGATCCCCCCCCTCTAGTGCAATGGGAGGGCGCAGCCTCGGGCAGCTGTTCTCCAAGGCTGGGCACTTCTCAGTATTATTTTCCTTAGTTGCCCCTTTGTCCTTTGACAGAGAAGCCCCTGAGCACACTCTGCCCAAAGACAGAGACGCAACTGAGAGATGATAAGTAGATGTGAAATTACTCAAAAAGAGTAATCTCTATTTACTCAACCCCCGAGGTCAGCTTGTGACACAAGGTCGGTTTAATGTGGGGAGCCCGAGCGCGTGCACCCGGGACAGGAAGGAAAATTCCCCTCAACCCCCGAAACCGTCGGTTGCGCTGGCCTTGGTCCGTGCATCAATCCTTCTCTCTAGTGCAATGAGAAGGCGCGGCCTAGGACAGCTGTTCCCCAGGGCCGGCACCTCTCAGTATAATTTTCCTCAGTTGCGACTCTGTCCTTTGCCAATTTATGAATGAAATGTTTATTTAGATTCCAAGTAGTGAATACATCCTAATTTGCGAAGCGGTAGCCAGCGGGCAAAGCAAACTTGCGTAGCGCAGGGTCAATCAAACGGAGATATTATAACTAGAAAAGAAGAAAAAAGAATTAAGAAGAAATCTAAAGCTCTATGTGTGTGTGTGTGTCTGGGGATGGGGGGGTTGTATGTTTTTGTGTGTGTCAATCATATAAATTAGCAAAATACAAAATGGGCCAAGTATACCGAAAGAAAACGCACACACACACATACATGCATACATGCACACGCCATATCAGCTCTATGGTTAAACAAAAAATCCTGTGCTAGAGTGGAAATATAACCTATATTCAAAGAAAGACATTATCTTCCCATGCAATGTGCGATCCTCAGTCAGTTCTGAGAAGAAAATATATAAGACTCTCTCTCTCTCTCTCTCTCTCTCTCTCTCTCTCTCTCTCTCTCTCTCTCAACCCGTTTTTTTTCTCCCGTGTGATAGTCGGAGGTTGGATATGAAACTTTCAATTTCTTAACTCGCTTTTACTTAACCGTTAGGCTATTACGTCTGCTTCTAAATTTTGATCAAAAATTCTATTGTTTTCCCAAAACATGAAAGAAAAAAAAAAAAACAACTAGAGAAATCTGTTTCTCAACAAATCTCTTTTTATATATAAAATGATTTTATATTCTATTTTTATTATGACGCGTTAAAATCTATTCCCCAGTTGGATTGGTCAGTGGTAGCCGGCCTCACCTCACTTCCCTTTTGGCTTTATGCCAAAATGTTAAAGTTAAATATACACCTTTTTATGTGAACCGGCGTTCATCTCAAGCGTTCGAGTCATTAGCGGCATAAAAAGTTCCACCTGGCTATTCTCTCGACTTTTCTACCTTCTTTTCCTTCAGAAATCATTAACAATGGTCAAAACAAAAGTACCCAGAACATAACAAAGCTTTTTGGCAAGTTCCTTCACAACTTTCTACTCGGCATCAAGCAACTTATTTGACACCATGATAAAAACCCAGTAA